ATATATATATATACATATATATATATATATATATATATATATATATATATATATATATATATATATATATATATAGATTAATATAACAGTTTGGTCACCAAAGACCTTAGTTAATAAAAAAAAAAATGACAAACTACACAGTTTCAACTAAATGTGATAGTTTTTATGCTTTTCTTGATTTTTCCAATTTATTCCAATGTAATTACCCCCCGTCCCCATTCATCACTGATCCATCAGTTCAAATCACTGATGATTAATGATTTAACACACACAAAAAAAGAGTTTGTTAAAAAAATGAAGAGTTCACATGCAAAATCCTCGTGCTGTCTTAAATTTTCTTCTAAAATTAGCATTTTTCTCAGCCTCCAATATTTTTGTTCAGCTATTTCACTTTAAAGGCAATGCAAAAAACTTATTTATTGACATAAAAGTGGATTTACTGAACATACACACAGGCGCTTGATAAAAATCCTCACTTTAGAATAAAATTCAGATGGCATTTAGAGGTTTTTGCATCTGAACTCTTAAAATGTTTTTATATGCTAATGTGACAATATCCAGTAAAAATGGATAATTCTCCCAAAATTGTAACTTTTGCCACCATTTACTTATTCCCCTTGATTTCTTTACAAATCAGTTTGAGTTGTTTGTTCTGTTGAACAAAAAAATGTATGTTGAAGAGTGTTGAACCATTGACCAGAGTATTTGTTTTTCCTACTTTAGAAATGAACAGTTCCCAGCATTCTTCAAAGTATCTTCTTTTGTGTTCAACAGAAGAAAACAATTCGGTCCCACTTTATATTAAGTGGCCATAACTAATAAGTACTTACACAGGAATTATTAGTTTGTTACAATGTACTTATTGTGTAAATACATGTATTTACTGTGTACTTATGCTTGATTAAATACATTTATGTAATTACATCTGTAATTAACTTTTGTAATTACATTTGTAAATACACTGTTGACCATCCCTTACACCTTAACCCACCCTTAAACCTACCCAAGCCACCAAACTTGTCCATAACCCAACCTCTATCCCAACTCAAATGCACCACAAGTGTTCTCAAATACATTATAAACACAGTAAGTACATTGTATTTATTTTTTAATGTAAGTACATAGTAGTTAAGACCACTTAATATAAAGTGGGACCAACAATTCTAACTGATTTGAATCAAATCAAGGATAAGTAAACAATGAAATAATTTTAATTTTTGGGTCAAAATTCCCTTAAAAGCATGAAAATGTAAAAATGGCACCTCTCAGGATTCTTGATCTCCTCTGTAACAAAGTTGAGCGTGTCCCAGCCTGAGTAGGAGAACAGCGCTGAATAAAGAGCCAGAGCAATGCTGCCCGCCTCAGTCGAGGAGCCCTCGAATGCATTATTTAAGTTTTTTGTTTCTCCTGTGGTGACATGCAAAAAAAAGAGGGAAAATTACACAACTCAGCAGTAGAAACAACCTGAGATCATTTAGGTATTAGTAGTCTATACAAACATCAAAAGCTTTTTAGGTGCAACCTGAGCAATGATTGAGAAGTACTTCCTTGTTCATGCAATCCCAATGTGATTTACTGTAACAAATCCGCCTAAATATGATCAGTGTTAAGCAATTAAATGCAAATGTAAAACTTTCCATGACAAAAAAAAAGTAAAATTTCACCATAATAATGAAAGCCTTTTACGTTTTTTTGTGTAGGCTTGTATTTTACAGTACTAAGGAACTCAGAAATGTCTTTGCCGATGTTTTCAAACTATTTGATTTACCAAAGTCACACAAGTGCCAATGTCACACCTGTCACTGAGAGGAGAGGTGTCAAATCCATGACAGAGAAGTGTAACATTCATAACAAAGCTTTTTCCTCATTAACGTAAACAAAATAAAATCATTTTTGGTCTATAGTGAGCTAACTCTAATCCTTTTCATTAGCATTAATTCTTTTGGATTGCTCAGTTTAATTCACAGAATTTCTACAAAGTATGTTGTATACTATAAACTCGCTAGCTTTTTAGGTCTCATCCATAACGCATGGTTATTATCCTCATTTAAAGTATAAAAAAAGGTTTACATATTGATATATCTCTGATCCAATCACTTAGTGGTTTTGGAAAATATAAACAGATGTTTCAATATAATGTTAACATAGACTTTCTATGTGATTTTCTGTTGTAAGATTGTGCAAATGTCACATCCATGACATTGGAGTTGCTTTGTTACCGTTAATGATCTTAATGATGCCCACAGTGATGACGAGGAGCAGAGACATGATTTTGGCGTATGTGAAAACATCCTGAACCAAAGTGCCCCACTTTACGTAAGCACAGTTTATGAAGATCAGAATACCTGTGGAAAGAGGGGAAACACATTCAGCACATTTTAAAATGAGCCGAAGGAGTGTAAACAAATTTAACAATACTCTGTTAAAAATGCTGGGTTCCACACAATCGATTTGTGTTGGGACAACATGAAGGAATTAAGTTAACTTATTTATTTTAACAAATTTAAGTGGATTGAACATAAAATAATTAAGTTATCTCAAAACAAATCTTAATAATTGTGTTGTATCAACTCATTTTAAAAAAGTCATTAGAACATACTACAAACATCATTTTTTTGATGCTTTGGTCAGGAGATGTTCATATTTAGTTTTAATATCAGTTTTTTTCTGCAGACACTTTCTATGAATATATGATACAATTTGTTATTGCAGTACTGATCTATTCTAATATATATATATAACAGTTCTGTCTGGTTATCGAATCTGATCGGCTGATAGCTGTGATATATTTAAGTAATATCAGCACCCGTACAGCCTCTTTACCCTTTGTGTATTACTCCACCCACATACAGCCAGCAAAAGGCAGACACTACAGATCTAAAGTTTAAAAGATGCTTGCTCAGCTGTTTAACAGTCAGCTTATGATTTGAATCCAATGCGGAAGAAAGTAGTTCCTCAAAAGGGTTTTTGAGACTCTCCATATTTGATTTTGTTTTTATATACACTATTATGCCATCAAACTGTTGTATAAACGCAATATCACACTCGTAGCAGTGCTATATGGCTGTATAT